GGCTTGGTGCCGCACACTGTGCAAGCCGCTCCCGGGACGGGGCGCGTCACAGTCACAGTCACACACACGCAGACACACACACACACTCCCTCCCTCCCTCCTCCACACCCGGCGCACTCGCTGCAGTGCTGGGTGGAAGGGTGCATCTCCTCATTCTAGGAATGCATCCCCAGAGCAAACCCGGCACTGTCCTCCCACCCCCAACTCGCCCCACTTTTGCCAGCCCAGGTCAGTTCCTCCCCATTTGTGGCACACACACCCTGTTCCCTGCTCAAGGTAGTTCCTCCCCATTTGTGACACACACACGCACGCACACACACACACACCCCGTTCCCTGCTCAAGGTACTGCTCTGAGCTGGCCAGTCCTAGTTACTTTGGGCCAGAAGAAAGGGGAGGCATGCACTGAACGTGCACTATGCGTCTGGAGCTTTACATACACCGCCAGTCCTTTGGCCTCAGAGCAGTCCTGTCACCTGCGTGTTATGCCCAGTTCATAGCCCAGCCTACCGAGGACCAGGGAGCTGGAAGAGAAGGGATTCAAACCCAGATCCCAGCGTTGGTGGTATAGTGGTGAGCATAGCTGCCTTCCAAACCCAGATCCCTGCTTTGAAAAATCCTGCTCTTAGAAGCGCTTTAAACTTTTACGCCATCCTTCCATTTATCCCTTCTTGTCCAGTCTGTTCCTGTCCCACCAAGGGTCAGAACCCCTCCCCTCTGCTCACCTCTTTCCTGAGGGGTTCACTTGAGGGAGCTGCTGGGCCCTGGGAAGATATTGCCACCCTTTCTCCCAGCCCAGAGCATCCCCGCTTACAAGCTTGCAGGGCCTGTGGGGATGAACCACGCGGATGATCTCCCCAGTGGGTATCAGCTCGACTTGCAGCGCCATTCCGCCGACAGAGAGCCCGGGTGCTTGCTGAGCAACAGCCTGCCTGTCCACTGGCTCAGGCTGCTCCCAGAGCCAGGAATCTGGTCCCACACTGGGATGGCCACTTGGTTCAGCTTCAACTCCAGCCCCAGGGGATGTGTCTGGTCCAGCTCCTCAGGACACAGCTGGAGCAGCCCAGGTCTGATTGGGAGGCCTCTTGGCCCAGCGGGTTGGGGCAGGAAGAGGAGGGGCTGAGGGACGGAGGAAATGCCTGTTGTCCCAGGTAACCAGAGAGGCTGATGCAGCCACTCGTGGGGGACCCTGGCCTCCAGGTCAAAGGGTAGGAGGTCTTTCTCCCCAACAGCTCCATGGCCAGGCCTCTCCTGCTGCCCGCTCACTGGTGTCAGCTGGAGAGTAGTGTTCCCCAAACCAGAACACACATCCTGCCCTAAGCCAACAAGATCTGTCAATAGGCGCTGCCCCTCCAGCATGTCTCCCCAGCTTGCCTCATTCCCCGACAGCAGCAGGTGAGCCCCTTGAGTTTGGGAGGCCAGAGCTGCTGGGGGCTGGCCACACTGAGCAGAGTTTAGCTGGCGAGGCAGGAAGGCACTGTGAGGAGGCCCCTGTCCTGCCCTCCTCAGGGGCCTCTAATGCTTGGGAGGACTGGACTCCCTGGCTCTGGGAGGCCTTAGCCCTGTTGGCTTCTTACTTTTCCATAGTACCTTCAGGTGCCCCTCACCCCCAATGTCCTGTTTTCTATCGTTATTGTTGCTAAATCACTGCTGACACTTTCCTGGCCTGGGACTGAGCCCTCAGGTCTTCAGCCATTCCTTATAGGAAGTAAGAAGGGGAAGAGGATGGGGAAAAGTGACCTTTCCAGAGGGAGACACTGGCATGGGAGGGGTGGAGTCCAGTGGGCCAGTGCTGGCCCTGACAGCCCCCTGGACAAGCACCTTCCCCTGGGGCACACTTTCCTTCCCTCCCCACGGCATCCCCCGCCCAGGAAAGGCCAGCAAAGCTTCCTTCCTTCCTCTGAGAAGCACATTTATCTAGGGCAGGCTCATCCCCGGTGGCCACACAATGGCCCTTATCAGCTGTGGAGCCAGGCACAGAGACCCAGTGCACACCAAGTCTCACACATTTCCTGTTTCCACCCAGCGGGTCAGGGCTGGGCCCAGAGCGGCCATATCCTGACTGGGGCCAAGAGGAGGCAGAACACTCCCCCTTCCCCTTCCCGACCTCTCAATCACTGCTGGACTCGCCCCTCCCAGGCCAGGGGGGGCCCCTCCAACAGGAGGCACGGGGAGGGGTGTGTGAAGACTTAAGGGGGAAGGGGAAAGGTGGGCACGTGGACAAGCATGCTCCACAAGCAGAAGGTGGTGGTAGAGTGTCCCCTGAGACCCAGCCCCAGGGCTACATAGATCAGAGTAAGGAGATAGGTATGCTGTTGCTTTGGGTGTTTTTCCAACTGTTCTCTCACAATGATCTTGTGAATACATACATTATTTGTATTTTACAGACAACCAAGTGTAACTCGGATTCAAATCCAGGTCTTGACCTCATTCCTGTGTTTCTGGCTCTGCATGATACCACGGCTGCCTGTGTAACTTTGGATGGATCACGCCACTCCTCTGAGCCTGGGTTTCCCTGGCTGCAAATGACAGGTGCGGTGGGCAGCAGCCATGAGGCTTGTGCAGGTGAGAAGGCCAGAGGTGGGCAAGTGCGAGTGGTCAGGGCTCCTCGGGTGTGAGTGTGTTGGGGCAGGGACAGAGATTACCGTGGAGACCTTGGGGCAGGAGGCTCAGGGGAAAAAAGATGGTGACTTTTTTGGATAGCTTGACCTGGGACCACGGCTCAAGACTAAGATGAAGGAATGTGGGTGAGGAGAGATGAACGAGTGAATGCAGAGCACCTTTTCTGAGAGCCGTCAGGTCCCAGAAACCCATTCTACTTCGCAGCAAGGTAAACAAAGTGCCTAATAGCGTAGGTGGCTCGCCCCAACTGTGCCAGGGACCCCGGGGCCACCACCCTGGGACCTCACCCCATTCTCATCCGGGCACCATCTGCCACTCTCGGACACAGCAAGTCTGGTCTAGGTCTACAGGGCCCTCGTCCTAGAGTCTAGCAAGGGCATGGAGTCATACCACCACCAGCACCAGCTCCCCCGCCGCTGACATCATGGAGCCACACACAAGTGTAAAAGCCATGTTTCTAATTATCCCCCCCCCCCATACAACAGACAAAGAACACAGCCACGGGCCACTAGAAGCCAGGGGGACAATTCTTGATGGTACACACGGCTCCCAGGGTGGAGTATGGATCATAGAGTGACTGGAGTGTCCCTCAGTCTCAGGTCATAGGATGGGCGTGACAATCACAGAGCAGGTTCCCTGAGGTGTCTTCTCCTGGGAGAAGGGCCGTTGAATCACCGGTGGCTGGAGGCAAGTGGCGGGAGTGGGACTGAGGGCCCACACAGCACCTAGAGAATGTTCTCTGAAGGCCCTCAAGGCCAGATTCCGCAAAACGTCTAGATTTAGGCTCTCTTCTCTGCCTGCCTCCACTTCTAGGTGCTAGGGCCAGTCTAGAGAGAGGGCAGGTTTCTGGCCAGTGACTGCAGGCAAGGGTAGGAGCAGATGAGCTTGACTGGGCAAGAAACACCCTGGAAAAGTCTGTGGCCACAGTTCCTCTACCACCTGCCAACCCTTCACAAGAGGGCAGGTTAGGGCATGGAGCCTGACCCACCAGCCCCGGAACTTCCTGGGTCAGACTCCATGGGGGCAGGGGTGCCGGCAGGACACTCATCATCCTGCCCACAGGACCTAAATAAGAGCCTGGGTAGAGGGGCCCCTCCATCCTGCCCACTTAGTCTAATTGCTTTTGCTACAAGCAGGGATCCCACACCTTCTGCCCATCCCCCAGGGGGAGAGGCAATGAGATGCCAAGACTCCCGGAACCCAGGGCTGCTTGTGCCAACCGGCCTATGGGGCCTGTGCAGATGCGAGCTTCTCCCCCCTCCCAGGCAGCCTGAAGCCCAGGATGGCGTGACAAGAATGCAGGCCTGTGCCAGATGGGGCATGTGCCTGGCAGGCCTGCTTGGGCGGGACTGGGAGTGTGTGGGGGGAAAATCAAGAAACAAGGTACAAGCTGGAGGGTCCTTCCCACATCCAGTGGATTGTCCCAGGTCTTCACTGTTGACAAACTAGCTGGTTTCACTCATATCTCAGCAACAAAAACCTGTATTTAAGTGGCCAATTCTAGAGATCTGGACCGGAGAGAGCAAAGGAGTGTGGCTAGAGCTCCCCCTGGGAGACGGAGGATACCTGCTGCCTCCTCTGGGGGCTGGGCTGGGCCCCCAGCGCTGCGGGCGGTATGGGCAGACCAGCTCTGGCCTCCACCCTGGATCCACTCTCATCCGGGCTCAGATGTGTGGTTGGGCTTCCCCCAGTGGGTCCTCCGCTAAGAAGGAGCCAGGCTGGATCTGCAAGGATAAAACAGGCGGTGAGTAGAAGGGGGGAGGGGAGAGCAGATTTTCCTCTGTGCCTTTCCATCACTCCCCTTCTCCAATGCATGCGGCTCCATGGTCCAAGTGGGTTCCTAGGCCTGTGGCATTGGAGAACCGAGGAGGGGCTCAAGTCCCCTTCCCCCACCAGCATACCTTGAAGGGTTTGCTTATCCCCACCACAGAATGTAGACTGTTGCTATAGTAACAGAGGAGAAACTGGTCCTCAGTCTCGGGGATATTGCTGGTATTGAAGTATACCTGGTGGGAGGATGGAGAGGAACGGGGTCAGCTCCCCGGCCTGGGCCCCACCCAGCTCTCAGCAACAAGTTAGCCCACCCTCTGTTCCTTCCAAAAGACAGAGCAGTGCTCAGGCAAGGCCACACGTCGGAGACATGGAATACCTATCTCAGGGAAGCGGGCAGGTACCTGGCTCAGCCCATCGCTGAAGGAGACCTGGTTGTCCCTGACCCAGACATAGGACACGTAGTCATTAATGTGGCGCAGCCCCACCTGTGAGAGAGGGGATTGGGCAGTCGGTGGTCTGGGAGGACACAGCACCTACGACAAGTCCCAAGGAGATGCCTCAGGCTGGCCATTGTACTGTATGCACCCTCCCCTTCACCGCCAGCCTCTAGGGGGGCAAGGACCCCTGTGTGATGAGCACGAGCTCTTCAGTCTCTGTACCCAGCTCCCGTGAGCCCCCAGGATGGATAAACCAGAAGGGTATGGCTGATGGACACCACGTCTTGCCTGCCACATCACCTTGTATAGTCCAATCCAGTCCCAGGGGCTGCTGAGAAAGTCTGGCGTCAAGGAGTAGCTGATCAACATGTCGTTCTCCATGGTCCACAGCCTCTCGGGTATCAGGGTGATCAGTGGGGCAGACACCAATGGCTTCAGCTACATAGAGGTGGGAAAGAGGGTGAAATCCCATAGCACCATTCCTTTCTCTGAGGCTCACGTTCTTGCTGTGAACTTTCCAACACATCAGCGTCAGTGAGGGGGAAGAGGGGCATACAAGGGGGTGGGCACAGAACTCCACTAGGCTGCCCCAAGACAGTATCAGACCTTGGCTGGCCTGCTGGAAGGAGAAAGGGCCAAAGGCTTGTTAGGGGTGGCTGGCCCTGCCAGGGAGGATGGGGATGGGGGCCCAGTGGGTAACCAAGCAGACAGCCAAGTGCTGAGGGGAAAGGGTGGGGGAGAATGGGGGAGTTGCTGACAGGTTTAAGAAAGAAGCCAGGTAGCTGCTCTCAGGCCTCTAGGGTTCCTGACCCACAGTGGGGGGGTAGCCCTGGAGAGAACAGCTACAGGCATGTGGAGAGACACAACGGTATAAGGACAGACAAACCAGCCATGAAAAAGTGAAGGCCGAGGGCAGCCAGCAGGTCTCAAAGGAGGTCAACATTGCCTTGGTCATTTGATGGCAAGAAGCAAGGATGGAGGGAGCTCCCTTTGCAACCTGATCCAGGCAGATTTAAGACAAACAGAAGGAAGTCCTACTTACATGGTAGGTAATAAGCATAATGGAACCCATTAGCCCCAAGAGACAGTACCAAGAGGAAATGGAAACCTATTTACAAAGGGTCTGAACACGTTTTTGACGGAGCCCTCAACAGCTTCTAAGAGCTGGGATACCTGACCTGGGAGGAGTGGCAATCGTGTCCTCCTACAGGTCTCCCCTGGGAGATGTGCTGACATTAGAATCCCGGGCTGGGGGGTCTGGGAGGTGGCCCAGCGGGTGCTCTGTCAAGTGCCAGGCAGCCTGGAAATTCACCTCCAAGTCAAAGGTGCTGGTGACCGGCTTATGGTCACTGATGCAGTACATCATGTGGCTGACATAGCTCCTCAGCGACAGGCAGAAGTGGGGGGCTGGCAGCCTCTGGGTGTGGGGGTTGGCCTGGGGCTGCCGCTTCAACCTCCACAGGATGCGGTCGGTCCATGCAGGCTTGCGTTTTTTCTCACTGGGGGTGGAGGGGAAAACGAATGTGGAGAGAAGGGTTGGCAGGAGAGCAAGACGGTACCCCCAGCAAGCCTGCTGGAGCCCCTAACACCAGGGCCTCTCAGTGGCCAAGAGACCCCTGGGCCCCAGTGGGAGTGTGGCATATGGCAGCAGGGAGGAGGGGGCCCGAGAGAATCAGAAGCACACTGGCCTTTGTCAGACTCAGCCAAGGACCTCCAGTCTAGTCTTCGTTTTTATGAACCAAATTGTGATTCAGAAACATTCCACTTCAAAGCTTTTCTGACTTCTAGACCGAAAGCAGCAGTAGAGCAAAGAAGCTGAGGTCTGGATTTCAGAGTTAGAGGTAAGCTGGAATTGGGCTTCCCTCTCACTAACGGTGCAACCTCAGGAAAGGGAAGCACTCGGGGAGGCTCACTGTGTGCCTGCCATCAGTACCGCTGGTCCCCTCTCTCAAAGGCAGAGGAATCGAGACTCAGCGAACTTTCCCGAAGTCACACAGCTACTGAGTGGTGGAGTCAGGATTCAAGGCCAGGCAGCACGACCACAGAGCACAAGCTCTTCATGACCAGGCCACCTTCTCCTCGACCTCAGCTTCCTCATCTGTAAAATGAAGGTAATAGTTACCTCACAGGGTTGCTGACATGATTGAATGAGGAAAAGCACACAAAATTACTTAGCACAGTGCCTGGCACGAAATAAGCTCCCTGTAATCACTGGCTGTTGTGACTCTTTGTTCTCAAGAGTCAACTGAGAGGGGCGCCTGGGTGGCTCAGTCGTTAAGCATCTGCCTTCAGTTCAGGTCGTGATCCCAGGGTCCTGGGATCGAGCCCTGCAACGGGCTCCCTGCTCCATGGGAAGCCGGCTTCTCCCTCTCTCACTCCCCCTGCTTGTGTTCCCTCTCTCGCTGTCTCCCTCTGTCAAAAAAAATAAATCTTTAAAAAAAAAAAAAAAAGAGTCAACTGAGAAACCTCTGGCCTGTTCTTTGCTTTAGCTTCACTGAGGAGCCCGAGAGGCTGTACACCCCTGGAGACAGAAGTTCTGTCCTCCCCTAGGAAACTGTGGTTGCCCAAGACAGGCAAGCCTCTGACTCCTAACACAGCCATGCCCAGGCAGCTATAGGGGTGTTCTCTAAGACCAGGCAGTGCCCTCCAAGGGGGGGCCCCCAGTCCTGGAATGGGGGTGGGGGCAGCTTCTGTTCTGGGTTCCTCCCCCTTGAGTTTAAATGAACCCAGAGTAGTAAAGCCTAGTCAGATGGTTTCCTACTTTAAAACCTTTCAGAAGTCTTCACTGCCTCCAGAATAAAGCCCAGGTCCCCAAGCACGGCTTTTAAGGAGCCTGACCCCCTCATCCTACACCATCTCCCACCACTGTCCCACACCCGCCCACCACAGTGACTCTCCAGCCTCTGGACCTTTCCTCGTGCAGTTTGTGCTGCCTGGAACACCCTTCTTCACAGGAAGAGGCCCAGTTCCAGTGCTGTCTTTGTCCGAAAGCCGTCTTTGAGCTCTACTTTCCGCTTCCAAAGGATTCTGCACCAGTGCTTCCCCTATTATGTTATCCAGTGCTGTTGTTTTCTGTTTCCCAGTCGGCATACTGGTTCGTGTGGGAGGGTGGGAGGCAAGGACTGGCTCTTGAGATCTCCTGCGCGACCTGGACCGTAGTACGCACAACTGCTTGTGGAACCCAAACTCACGAAAACCCCAAACTCAATCCCTCTCCTCAAAAATGCCCATCTAATCCTGACGTATACAGTTTCAGATGCTGATAACCAGTTTGCAATGCTATTTTTTGTCGTTTTATTCACTTACTATTTTTTTTTTAAAGATTTTATTTATTTATTTGACACAGCGAACACAAGCAGGGGGAGCGGCAGAGGGAGAGGGAGAAGCAGGCTCCCCGCTGAGCAGGGAGGCCGATGGGGGAGCCAGGCGCCCCTCACTTACTATTTGTTTTTTTAAGATTTTTACATTTATTTTATTTATTTGAAAGAGAGAGAGAGAGCGCACAAGCAGGGGAGAGGGAGAAGGAGGCTCGCCGCCAAGCAGGGAGCCTGACTCGGGGCTCGATCCCAGGACCCCGGGATCAAGACCTGAGCCGAAGGCAGATGCTTGACGGACTAAGCCACCCCGGTGCCCCCATTTACTATTTTAAATAAACATTTCCGACATACTGTTGTCAATTCAACAGCAATACAGTCTTCTAGCAACAGAGAGGCAGAATGATGTCTCGCTGGTAAAGTCCGACTCCACAATCAGACACCAGGATCTGGGGGGAGGTTCTGCCCTGTTAATTAAAAGCTATGTGGTTCTGGTTGGTGAACACGTGACTTGGAGAGAGTAGCAGGCTCGGAGGGCATGGAAGCTCCTCGCCCTCTCCCCACACCTTGCCCTAGGCCTCTTTTCCATCTGCCGGTTCCTGAATTATATCACTTTATAATTAACTGGTTATCTAGTTTAAAAGAGAGAGAGAAAGCTATGTGCCCATGGGCAAGTGGCTTCACTTCTCCCAGCCTCAGCTTCTTCAGCTCTAAGATGGGGTGATAACAGTACTTACTTCAAAGAGCCATTGTGAGGATTAAACAAATTAAGGTGTGTTAAGGGAGTGGTCAAGAAGTGCTAACTGGCTCAACCACATCTGTTTGGGGCTCCTGGGGTTGTCTCAACCTTCTACGCTTCTGAGGAGCGTTCAGAGCACACCAGAATATGCTATTTCCACTCCAGAGACGACAGACATACAATCTCCAAATCCACCTTGGACATTCAGTACCTAGCAATGCTTAAACTTGGGACTGAACCACACAAATGTACCACTTTCCCTTTCAAAGCATTCCCCCTCCCCAACTTCCCTATTATGGTGACTTGCTGTCACTTCAGGATCCTCCCCAAGTCCGGACCACAGCCTGTCTCTCCTTCCTCCTCAGTACCTCTCAACCTGTCTTCCTTTTCTCCTTTTCCAGGGCCTGCCCAGGCTTACCACTGGGCACCTGTATGCTTCAGTCTTTCAATGAAGATTTACTGAGCCCTTATTATATGCTGGGCAACTGGGGATCTGAAAAACGGGACTGACAAAGTCCTCGAGGAGCTTGTCTGACGAAAAAAAGACAAGAAACAAGTTAAATGTGTACGAATTTGGGCGCCTGGCTGGCTCAGTTGGTAGAACATGTGACTCTCAATCTCAGGGTCGTGAGTTCAAGCCTCATGTTGGGCGTGGAGCCTACTTAAAAATAAATAAATGCATAAATAAATAAACGTGTATGTACAAGTTAAATATTACATATATTCTCTCAGTTCTCCATTTCTTTCTTAAAAAAAAAAAAAGATTTATTTTAGAGAGAGGTGCACACGCACGCATGCAGGGGGGAGGGGCAGAGGGAGAAAGAAACTCAAGCAGACTGTGCTGAGCATGGAGCCAGACTTGGGGCTTGATTCCACAACCCTGATGAGATCACGACCTGAGCCGAAATGAAGAGTTGGATGCTTAACCGACTAAGCCCCCCAGTGGGGCCCTCCCCTGCCCAGTTCTCCATTTCTAATAATGACAATTGCAAAAGATGGGGGTCCTTCTGTGCCTTTGACACTGTGATAGGTGTCTCATGGACTGTCGTGATCCTCTCGGCACTGGAAGAATGTTACAGGTCACATTCTCCCCCCCACTACAAGACACTGAAGTTCAGACGTCACCCTGTGCAGGCGGAAGTCGGATGCCTGCCCAGGTCCATGAATTCCATGCTCCTCCCACTGCACTCCAATGTGGCCAATTCCCAGCAGCCAGAACTGTCTCATCGCATGCCTTACCAGAACCAGACCTCACTTAGGCTTTTTGGCTGAATGGTTGTGACTAAGTACAAGAATTGTTTCTGGAGATCACTATGTCCTTACTTTAGACAAATCAGAACCAACACTCTGCAAATTTCTCTTTAAGAGCCCAGAAAGCTGAGCCGATTTACTGACCCCAAAGTAGTGATGTGTTCCATTTCTGGGTTTGAAATGGAACTTTTCCCTTCGGCTCCCTATAGATGGCTTCTAAGTGTCTTACTGAACTCTGGACCTGAGTCTTGACTGGATTGATACTATCCTCTGCTCATTGCCTAGTGGAGAGGCTGACCAGGCTCACGTCAACTGTAACAAAACCCTATGGCAATCCCTGACTTTAACAGGATTTCCCGCTTTGGGCCTGTTCACCCTCCTCTGTAATGGAGCTGACCTCGTTTCTCATTACGTCCTGGCTTAGGGGAGGTTGCTGTCGGTGGGCAAAGATGCACGTGTACCGTGCCCCAAACACGACTCACTCACAGTCACTTTGTACCGCTGGTCAGGCTCTTCTCGAGGTGCCTCTCACCGGCGCTGCTGACTGACAGGAATGCCTGCCCCTCTCCCCTCTCTGCTAAACTCTGCTGTTTCCTTGACAGCAGCTCTGACTGACTCTTCCTGGTTCAGCTGCCCGCCTCTTTACCATTCGCTCAACCTCCTTCAGCACTTCCAGAGTTCTAGAATCTTCTACTGGCCAACTCCTGGACTTGATAGTGCTTATTTGGATCTCTTGCTATGGGTGGATTCCTCTAATAGACTGGCTGCTCCTTAAATACCTTATCTTTTCCTTCTGTCCTCTCAGGCTGCCAATTCGAACACATGCCAGGCACTATGCTACATACCAGAGATGGCCATAAATCAGATCCAGTCTCTTCAGCCATTCATAGTACAGCAGGAAAAGCACACTGTGTCTTGAAAACGACACTGAAAGCATGGTGTGTGCAAGGCTTTCAGGCAGCATATGGGCAGGAGAGAACTCTCAGTGAGATGGGGGAAGGGTCAGGGAAGGCCTTCTAACAGCGATGATGTCTGAGCTGGTTTTTCAAGGATGAAGAACAGTCTGGTTACACAGGCACATGGTAAGTGCTTGGTAATGTCAGTCACAATGTGGATTGTACCTATTATGTGGAAGTAAGTACCTGCCTCCTCCTTAGCAACCCTCTGCTATCCCCATCCTGCCCTCCTTTTTGCTGCTGCCGGCAAGGCTGGCTGTGAATTTGGAGGTGCTGTGGGCTAGAAGAAGCACTGCGGGCCACCGAGTCCAGCTCCACCATTACCAGCTGAGCCTCCTGGGGAAGTCCTTTAACATCTCAGGGCCTCTGTACCCAATCTCAGTACCTGCTGATCACAGCCTAGCCGACGCTCAGCTGTCTTCAATGCCTTCTAGTCTCCTGGTGGCTTCCCTACCGCACCTGGGGGTGGGGGCAAAGGGACCCCGGGCCACATGGCCTGCCAGCAGCAATCTTGCAGCTAGCAAGTGAGCACTGGAAGTCCACTGGTCGGAGGTCCCAGCCGCCAAGGCCCAGGCCCAGGCCCATCCCACCAAGGCCTCACAGTTTCCATGACAGCTCTCATTTCCAATGGATGGCTGGAGAGACTAGCAGTCTCCCTGCAGCTGGGGCCCCGGGCTGCCTCGCCAGCTGGCTCCTGCCCTCTTACCTCCTTTCCGGCCTGCTCTGTTCGTGGCCTCTTCTTGTGTGCACTTGCCAGCCCATGACCCCAGCACGTCTTGCTCCACACTCCTGAAAGGCCTCGCCCCCTCTCCCTTCCTTGGAGGGGAGACGCTGGGGCTCTGTCATGCCCCTGCCAGCACAGGGCCGTCCGCTCCAGCTCTCACCCCGGCCTGGCTGGGGAGACGCCTGTTCACTCCCCACACTCCAGAGGCCCTGCCCTGAAGGCACCTCCTGCCTCCCTCATAAGACAGTCCTGCTGAGAGGAGTTACGTGAAGGAGCTGCTCCGGGTGTAACAAAAACCCTGTAACATGGAAGGTGTTCTTTTTCTTCAAAGAGACGAGAATCCTTGCCAAATTGGGCCGGGAACTTCATGGCAGAGCTGCTCTTAACCCTCTGCCTAAGCTTAAAGTTTGGGTGGTTTCCTGGCCCCTTCTCGGGTCCTAGAGAGGTTTTCAGTAAAACTACTACTACCTGAAGACGCGACTCGAACACCAGCAGTTGCTACATTGCTCACCAGCCGCCAGGCACCGGGCTAAGCACGTGCCAAGGTCTCATTCAATCCTCAACCCCATGAGGTGGGTACTACTATCATCCCCATTTTGTAGATGACGATATTGAGGTTTAAATACCTTATCCAAGGACATGCAGCTGAGGAGGAGCAGAGCTGTATTTCTAACTACTAGATACACTGTCTCTACATTGTTCCCCATAAACTTCTCTATTGACACCTACTACTTCATCTTCCTAAGTAGTACCTGATCCACTCACAGCTGGGGCAGGGGTACGCGATACCAGTAACAGGCTGAGCCAAGAGCTCTGTGCCCCTGTCTGGGAAGGACCAGAAAGCCTGGGGGAGTGGAAGCACGGGTTCCCAGAATGCTGGAACGCAGTCCCTCCCGAGTGAGGAATCAGCTGCTTCCCCCCCACCCCCTCCTTGCCCTACCTGCCCTGCCCCTGCCCCCAGCCCCCACCCTTGCCAGCACCTTCCTGCTCTCTGAGGACAACCTGGGACAGCTCCCACAGTCAGCGCCGCATGAGGCGGGTGGGAGGTGCCACCCCTGAGGGGACGGCTGCATCTACTCCTGCTTCCCTAACACTTCTATTCTGAGGCAGCTCCCTCTGCCACTAGGGCCCACACAACCTGACTTCCCAGGCCTCTTGGCCCCTCATTCCCTCCTCACAGGCTAATTCCAAATCGGTGGCAGGCTGATCCTCTCCTGGGGGAGCCCCCTCACCTGGTGTCATAGTTGTTGGAGTTCTTATCAAACTTGTAGGTGGGTGGGAAGAGCAGGGGGCCCTCCTGGAATTCCCGGAGCAGTGGATCATGTCTCTTGGCAATGCTGAGCTGGAGAGAAAGCCACAGGTCCGTCTCCTAGTGGTCCTGACCCAGTGGCCCAGCACACACTCCATTCGAGGGATCAGCACATGCCATCGCCGCAGGTCAAGAGTCAAGCAACACCACCTCACTTCCTCACTGCTCCAGTGACGGCCTCAGCGGCCCATCCCCACTCCACCCCCAGCTTCAGGAAAGCTGAAGCCTTTTGCAAACATTATCCCATAGTCCCAGGGGAGGCAGCTGCCTGCCATTTCCCAGTCCTTGGACTACAGGGACCAGGCTTTGAATTCCGTCTCTCTGGGAGTCACCAGCAAACATGTATCAGAGGGGAGGCTGGGGTAGCCAGGGTCCCCCCAAAGGGCAACCCAAAGCCCTTCTTGTTCCCTATCTTGACGCACACCCAGCAGCTCCTCCAGGGGAAGATCAGGCCCCTGGGTGCAAAGCCCTGTTAAACTCCTCCCCACCCAGGAACAAGGACTTCAGAGGCCTGGAAACGGAGAACAGGTGGCTAAGGGACCTGAGCAGTGCCCCCCACATTTGATGTTGGACTTCCACAATGGGCTCCGATCACCCCTCCGGACCCTTCCCTCACTTGATACCTGATCCTTCTCCCACAGATCACTGTAGCACTGATTTTTTATGGATTCCCGGACAAAATGCAGCCCAAAGTCATCGATCCGAAAGTTCATGTCTCCAAACCAGAGAATGAGGCTGCAGAGAGAAAAGAAGGCAGCTGAGGGTTGTGATGAGGTGAGAGAAGGGAGGAGCAATGGGCCTTAGGCCTGCTCGCTCCTCCAGCGCAGAGCTCGGGCGGCAGGTGAGGTGCCGGAAGCTGGGAGAGGAGCCAGAGACAGTGACGACAAGGCATGAGCCCTAATGAACTGTTCTCATGGCCGCTTCCCTGCCATGTAAGCCAAAGAGACCAGCCGCCAGGGGTGAATAACAAACACAGAGCAGGCTCTCGCCCTCCCTCCCCCTCCCTCAACGGGCCACCAGGCAAGGCTGAGAACCAGGTCCCTGTGGGTGACCTCAGGGACCCTGGGGTTCTTGATCTGGGATCTTCAGAAGTGTCCTGTCCAGAATTCCTAAGCAGGACATGGGGGCCAGGGAAAGGGAAGAGGTCCTAGACCCCAGGCAGGTAAAGCTGGACAGGAGAGCAGATGGGGCATCACGGAAGAGGCTGGGAAGGGCTGGGGTGGAACCCAGGCTGCCTGAGGAGAATGCTAGCTTGGGCTGGTGTGGGGGCGAGGACAGGGGCGGCAGTTGACAAGTGCATGCTCACTCATGCTCCAGGATGTTGGGGATATCCTGTCCCTCAAAATTTTGCATCTCCAGGATCCAGTCAAAGTGCTCTAGCCGCTGGTCATTGTTGGCCATGTGGGGGGGCAGGTGGCAGTTGATGATGCTGACATAGTAGCCATAAAGCTTCAGGCATATGGTGACGCCCCCTTTGTTCCCCTGGTAGGACAAGTGGGCAGAAGGGTGGAAGTTGCTCTGGGTGAGACACACCTCCCCTTTCCCATCCCAAGCCTGAGGGGAGATGGTCTCGCCCGCCACAAGACCTCCCAGGGCCAGATGCTCAGCTCCCTGGAGTGACCTCTCTCCATCTAAAAGCCCTGCTCACCCGGCCCGAGGTCTCAAGGGTGCAAAGCTCCCAGAGGCAGGAGAGTAGGTATGCGGGGCACTGGCGTGGAAGACTCACGCCACCCCCCTTTTCCATGTGCTCACCCCTACAGCGTCCAGCCCTCCCCAGCCCAGTGGCAGAAGGCCTTCCAGCTCATGACTCAGAAAACTCATCCTTACCCAGTACCCGAAGAGGCCAGTGGGGGTGGATTTAGTAGAGAGGATCTGGACAAAGGGCAAATGCTGATGCTTGGCAAAGAATAGCAAGAGGAGCCCCTGCATGCGGACACTGGAGACCTACAGCACAGGGGGGACAATGGTCATTCATTTCCCTGCACAAGCTGAGCAAGTCCCTCCCTAGCCCTGAAGTCAACGGTATCTCAGCTCCAGGCTCAGAGTTTTACTGCCCTGAACTGCCAAATGATGCATTCTGAGAGCTAAGCCAGGTCCAGCGCCTGTTCCTGCTCAGGTGGAAGGCAGAGAAGACAAGCCTACCAGGGCACCCTGCCACGAGGAGGGCATCGACTCTCCAGGCCCAGCACCATGCAGCCTAGCGACTCCTCTCACCCTGCTCTCTGGGTCCTTAGGGCACTCCGGGCTGCCACCCCCGTGGGCCAGGGCCTCAGAGAGGGATGGCGCAATGTAGGATAGTGGCTAAGGGCACTGGCTTTGAAGTTAGCCAGATCTGGTTTCAAATTCCACTTGGGCTCTTAGAATTTGCTATTGGGCCAAGTCTCAGTCTATTTGCTCATTGAAAAATCAGGACTCTATCTCATCTATCTCATGGATGCTGGAAGGATTAACTGGCAGCTATTCTTTCCTGGTTTAAGGATTTAAAAAAATTTCTTTAGTAATCTCTACAACCAATGTTGGGTTCAAACTCACAACCCCAAGATCAAGAGTCTAATGCTCTTCTGACTGAGCCATCCAGGCACTCCTGGTTTAAAGACTTTTTTAAATGCAGGGAGGGGCACCTGGCTGGCTCAGAGCACACGATTCTTGATCTCAGGGTCGTGAGTTCAAGCCCCACAATGGGCGTGAAGCCTACTTTAAAAAAAAAAAAAAAGTAAATTCAGGGAAAGAACATGAGAGACCCTTCTAGGGTGCTAGAAATATTCTGTACCTTGACTTGACTGGTGGTAACACTGATGCATATACAAATAAAAAGCCATTAAAAATACACCTAATTTCTGCATATATTATAATGTTCAGTGGAAAAAAATTAAGAAAATGTTCCCCCAAATAATTATACACTGTGGGTAGCTGGATTTCCATGAAGGCAATGCAGAGGCAATGAGAGCAAGCATGGTGGACATGTGTCTGCAGGTCGGGGAGAATAGCCACAGTCTACTAAAATCCTTCATACTGCATTTAATCTTCACGCCAACCTTGTAAGGAACTGCTGTCCCTGAAGGCTGAGGCTCAAGGAGACTAAGGAACCAGGAAAACTACTTGTATAACAATGTTTGAGGTCCGGGATCCCTAAAATCCCTGCTCTGTGAGGTGGGGTGGGAAAGGGCCATAGCCAGTGACCCTCTGTCAGCCTCAGGCTGTCTACACCTACCACCCGAGTAGCTGTTTCCGGAGCTTGAGGTTGCAGAGGCCAAGGAGGAAATCCCCGGGTGGGGAGCATGTACTGGGGCCTTCCAGGAATTATGAAACTTGATCCCGCAGGCCAGGAGCTCTGGCACCGTGGAGGAGTCAAAGCAAGGGGAACCCCAAACCCAAGACTGAGTGAGGAGGTGTGAGAACCTAGCATTGGGTAGAGGTTGCTACAAATGTGTCTCCAACCCCACCCTCTAGCCCCAGTCTTGGTCTCTCCCACTGACAAGCATATATGCCAATGGAACTGACTCCTAAGGAACTGATAAAGGTCCAGAAGAACTTTCAAGCTTAATCCTAACCCACAGAGCAGGTCTGGACCACTGGAACCCCGCACAAAGGCATCAGTGTGCTTTGTGAAGGAGCAAGGGAGGGGGATCGGGTGGCAGGAAAGCCTGGGACTGGGAGAAAGGGTGGGGCTGTGGGGAAAGGCGGGAGACTTGTAGGAGAAGTTCTGTTGGAGGAAGTGAAGTAGGAGGAGCTAAGGAAGGGGCTAAAGGGAGGGAGCTAGGGGCCCTGGAGCCAACAAAGGGGGTCAGGCCCAGGCTTCTCAACCTGTAACTGGCAAACTCCTGTCAAAGGAAGAGGCTGCAAGCAGGGCTCACCCCTTCACCTCAGTTCTTGGCTAGGGGAAAGAGGGTCACCCATCTGCTTTGGGTGCTAGGCCCTGAGGCAGGCCTCCCAAACACGGGAGGCCACATGGGTAGAATGGGTTGTGTCCCTGCCACAAGCTGAGCTAATTTCCTTGGCTTGATTCCATTCTACCAATCCCTTGCCAGTGAGCCGGGGTGTAAGGAAGCCTCCCGTCTTGGGAAGAGAGTGGGTGGTGAGAAAAGTGGTTCTGCCTTCTCAGAGGGTAGCTCCACATCTGTAGGAAGAGGCCTGAGCTTCATCCGGAGAGAGCCAAGGGCTTGAGGACTGACCTTTTCCAGCCTTAGCAGCAGGGCAAGGCTTGTATTCCCTCCTCCTGGCTCTGCCCTCGAGAGGACTCACAGCTCTTGCCTCAGCACCCTTAAGCAAACTGGGGTAAGAGAATTAATTCTGAAGAAATGAGTCACCCTGGAAGGGACTAAAGGAATTCTGGTATTTCCAAGAAGCACTGCACAGCGTGCTTTGAATGGGAGTATGCTTTATGCCGCAGCTGTGCAGGACGTAAAGGTGAAGACCCAGCAATCTAGAGCCTTCCTGTGGATTCTCCTATGGTCTGCTTTCCCCAAAGAATACTGGCCCTTTGGACTGAGAACTATTTTCCTCTCCTCTCCTAACCTCTGAGCCCCTGAGAATTTGAGGTACATGTCTCCTGTGATCAGAGGACACCCTCTGATACCAGCAGGCTAGCCATGGGATACCTGTCAGCCTCGGGGCGCCTGGGTGGCTCAGTTGGTTAAGCGACTGCCTTCGGCTCAGGTCATGATCCTGGAGTCCCTGGATCGAGTCCCGCATCGGGCTCCCTGCTCGGCAGGGAGCCTGCTTCTCCCTCTGACCCTCCCCCCTCTCATGTGCTCTCTCTCTCTCATTCTCTCTCTGTCAAATAAATAAATAAAATCTTAAAAAAAAAAAAAACAAAAAAAAAAACCTGTCAGCCTCAGAGCTCACCAGCAGAGCAATAAAGTATAATAGTAAAGAACGTGGGTTATGGGGCGCCTGGATGGTTCAATCAGTTAAGCAACTACCTTTGGCTCAGTCATGGTCCTGGGGTATTGGGATCGAGCCCCGCATTGGTGCCCTGTTCAGTGGGGTGTCTGCTTCTCCCTCTGCCTCTGCCCTTTCCCCTTGCTCATGCTCTTGCTCGTGCTCTGTCTCTCTCAAATGAATAAAAGGAAAATTTCTAAAAATAAGTAAATAAATAAATAAAATAAAAATAAATTCCATGCTAAATGCAATAAAGAAAAAAAAAAGAACATGGGTTACGAAATTTGAAAGATCTAGATTCAAATCCCAGACAGCCTCTGTGACCTTTCAGTCTTGGTTTTATCTGTAAAATACCCACATTTCAAGAGAGTTAAGAGTTCTCAATAATGCGTATCAAGAGCTTATTTGTGATGCTTACTCCCAAGTAAGCACTCAGTAAATGTTAGCAGTTATTATTTTTTTTAATGTTTTATTTATTTATTCATGAGAGTCAGAGAGAGAGAGAGAGAGAGGCAGAGGCAGAGGGAGAAGCAGGCTCCCCGCCTAGCAGGGAGCCCGATGCGGAACTCGATCCCAGGACCCTGGGATCATGACCTGAGCTGAAGGCAGACGCTTAACCATCTGAGCCACCCAGGCGCCCATTAGCAGTTATTATCATACTCAGGGATTTCAGGCTGGGCACGTGAGTAGGGACTGAAGGCTGACGGTGGATAGGCACCGAAGTGTTAATAAGGCCTGCTGTGCCTCCCCCAGGATTCTCCCAACATGAAAAATGTCAAGGTGTTAAACTAACCCCTGGGGTCCCAGCTCAGCTCCAGCTACATTGGAAAGACACAAGGCAGGCAGGAGCCCCAGGAAGCCAGGAGCAACTGAGGTTTAGGCCTTTAAATAAATGGAAACAGCATGAAAGTCTGAGCGGGAGACCAAAGGACTGGGGCTTAGTGACAAGAGGTGAGACACATTTCCCAACTGCCCATGAACTTGTAAGTTACCTTGACGAAGCTCAGAGGGGAAAGCACATCCATGAAGAAACTGCTCCATGGGTCTTCAAAGGCAGTGTCAGAGAGGAGGCTCAGGATCCCACAGTTCATTTCCTGCAAACTGCCCGTTCCAGGTCAGAGGCTCTCTCCCTGGCCTGGAGGGTAGCGCCTCTGCCACAGACATTTAGTACTGCCCTCGGCACTTTCAAACCTTGGGTCCTCATGACCATGAGCTCTCCCTCCCGTGGCCAATGACTGCCAACCCCTTGCCATTACTGACTCAGGACAAGAGACACTGACTAGTCCTGATGCAGGCTGAAAGCTCCTAGCCTTCAGCCTCCACAGCAAAGGAGGACAGGTGACAGGAGTACCCCACGGGGACAACTTTGGACTGGTCGGGCTTATCGATCTCAGAAATGGGAATGGGGGAAGGGGCACTGCAGACACCTACCCAATGACGTAGATGTCCAGATTCAGGTTGTCTTTGTTCAGCTGAAGAAGATCGCTGAGGTCTAGAGGAGGTGCTGCAGAGGCCACGTTCCACGTCACCACATGTATGCTGTGTAGGGGTAGGAAGGGAAGTCGAGGGGGGGGGGGTAGGACCTTATCCAGGTAACGAATGGGTCTGCTAATGGCTGCACCACAATCCAGTGCAACCATAATGGGAAACGCGAGTTTCTGTACCTGGTAGTGGGAACAGGGGCACTGAACTACAAGCCCTTCATCCTCACTTTGTTCCTGAAGCAGGAAATTTCCACCCCATTTTGGCTCCTCCGTGCAGGCCCACAGCTGCCCACAGCTGGCGGCACTGCTGCTGCTGACATTAGGAAAGGCTGCCAAGTGGGCGCAAAGGTTTCAGGGTCAGGCGAGGAAAGGAATGGGGATGGGCTTGGTAGTCAGGAATTCAATAATTCCACCAGCCATTCACACCTCAGGGCTCCTAAGGCCACCAGAAAGATTTTGGAGGTCCAGTTTTTACCTTGTAAGAGGACTCAGCACTACAAGACAGGAGAATTTCAAAAATAACAAAGATAGCACCACCACATTCCCTTCCTTCCTTCTTCCTAGCAGGTCCCTGGAGCATAACCAATTCTGCCAAGCATTTCAGGGAGCCTAAAGGTGAAGATTCTAAATGACAGGGTTCTCAACATCTCTCTCAGGAGTCTACCCTCTTTTGGGAAAAGTCATCAGCTGGATAGCATCCTCAACCTTGGCTTCATATAAACCCTACAGAAGCAAGACAACTAGATCAGCAGCTCTCAATCACAATGGATCCCATCAGAGGCTCAGGGGAAGGAGACACTTGCAGATCTCTTTCACTGAGTAGTTACAGCAACACTCCAAGAAAGCCCCAGACTCAGCTGAGTACAGAGCAGTCAGGGGCTACAAAACCTGTAGAGACCAAGGTCCAGCCACCAAGCCTTAGGTGAGTCCTAGGTACACCATGAGGAGGAGGACCTCCAGCAGAGGAAAACCTAGAATGGGCAAGGGTACAGGGGGTTGAGAGAGATGGGAGAAAAGAGCAGGATGTCCAAAATCATCTCTTTTCCACCAGATCCTGTTCTTAGAGGTCCATGTTCTAAAAAGCACAACTTGAAATTCTTGGCCGGCTTAATACAACTTCCTGCCCCTCCCTACGAACATCAACAAAACAATACACAAACCACCTTCCCAGGCATTGAGCCAGAGATTCTGCACTTTGTTTGTTTACGATCTCCCCCTGCTGTCCAACAGAGGATTAAGGAAAGCAGCCCTTTTAGTCCAAGGCTCTTTGTTTTCCCAGGGACCGACTCTAAGTGGATGGAGAGCAAAAGTCGGAATTTCTTGCCCTCACTCTCAGATCCGACGATTAGCAGCAAATCCTTGCATCGTGACTTGCACTAAGTCGGTGATTAGCTTTGTTCTTCGTTAAAGAGCAAGCATGGTACCAGGCTATATCACTGCACTAACGGATCTTACTTAAACCTGATTTCGGATTTCGGGAGGTCACAACGGGATCAGGCAGACCCCGTGATGTATGTGCTGATCAAAAGAACAAGATTTCTATTCTAGAGTTGAGAGGAGAATGCCTTGTTCTGTCTCTAACTTCAAACAGCCCAATACTGTTGCCTCCGCCAGAAGCCAACCGAGACACCTGCATGGGGCGCCCAAATGGGAACGAGCTCGGCGGCCTGAGTTTGGAGGGAGTGCGGGGCTTGGGCCCGAAACAGCCCCCTCGCCATTGGCTTGGGAGAACTGGGGAGGGTCTCTGAGCTAGAATCAGTCCTGCAGGCCTAGCCCCTTCTCTCCCACTCTGGCTGTACCCCAGATCCGCAGCCCCGAAAGGGTAGGAGATGGTGATCCCGCCCGGAACAGGCCGGCTTGCCCGCAGATGCCTTCCTCACCTGAGCGTCTTGCCTCTCGGCTCAGTCGGCTTCCGTGGGTTCACGGCCGCCATCGTCCCCACGCCGCGGCCCGGCCGGCTCGCGCCTCCCCGCCCCCGCCGCTCCTGGCCCGATCCACCTCCCTCCGGCAGCAGGTCCCGGCTAGCTTACTCTCGCCCGATTGTTTTCCTTCCGGATTCTGACCCTCCGCCTCGGCTTCCGTAAGAGGCGGGGCTTGAGGGCACGGAGGGCTCTGGGTGGTGCGGCCTGGGGGAGGAGGCGGGACTCCCCACGGAGCGCGAAACGGTGAAAGGCCGGGAGGAAAGAGGCGCGTCTCCGCGCCAGCAGAACCCGACGCAACACTGCCCCGCCCGGCGCGCGCATCTGGCAGCCCCGCGGCTCCCAGGGTGCCCCGCGCGAGGCCGGCCGGGAGGGGCAGTGTTCCGGCGGAAGCCGCGGCCCGGCCCGCACGCGCATCCTGGGCCCGGCCCGTTTGGCCGGTTATCGGAGTTGAGGTCTCTGGCCTCTGCGCTGTGCCCCACCACCTCCCCAACGTCCACAGGTCCAAAGCGCGAAGGGGGGGTGGCAGTCCAGCCACTGTCCTGCCTGTGAAGCAGCCTCATTGCCCCTCATCTACAGGTAATCGCTCTCGAGTTGGGCATAGAGCTCCTCCATCCTTAGTTCTCCTCCACTTCCACTTTCAGGTGTTTCCCGCTTTTCACACTCATTAGGTTACCTATTACACATTAGACGTTGGGGGTGCCTGGACTCTTAAAAAATTAGCCACCAAAGAATGAAAAATAAATCATTGCCTCTATTTGATGAATAGAAATTAAGATTTTGGCCAAAGATTAAGATTTTCTTCAAATAACTGGTTCTTAGTCTTTTTTGGAAGATAGGGAGGGCGGTGCATGGGATTCCTTTGGGGATCTGATGAGAGCCATGGCTCTCCCCAGAAAAATGCACACACAATTTTACAAACAAGTTTTATGAGGTCCACAGACCTGGAAGCCAGGTTAAGAACTCCTACTTTAAATAAATGTTTTGCTTGGCAGGATAGTAAAAAAGAGGGAGGGGGCACAAAAGCAAAAAAGGAAATCCTGCCAGTATAAAATGGCTGAATTACTTTCAGATATGTGATGTCTGCATAAGTAAAATGACAAGAGGATGTTTTAATTTACAGAAATTGACCTGCAAAAAATTTTGGAGCTATCTTGTACTTTTTCCTAGTCCTGGTAAAATGGAGGACAGCAGCAAGAGTTTGAGGATATCTAAGTTGTAAAATGGACATAAGGACATCACCAATAAGCTGGACTCCGGAAAGCTCTGTCTAGGATTTTATTAGATTGCTTTTTTCCCCCAATATACCTGTTTTGGAAGATTGAGACAAAAAGGCACAAACTCACATTAAATAAACAAGGTAATCTAATCAGTTCTACAAAGTGTATTTTGTAAAAGAAGTAGCACTAGGAACCAACCAAAATAAGTCAGGGAGTCCCAGCAGGGACTGTAAGAGAACTTGGGGAGATATACACATGCCCACAATACTGACCCTGTCCCTGACCTCCCTCTGTGAGGCCAGAGCCCAGCACTGCCCCCTTACAGAGGCACTGCCGCTTCAAACTGCGACTCTGACGGCAGCAGCTGGTCTGAAGGGGCACGGCACACCGTCAGGTACTACCCCTGGAGCTGAGCCTTTCATCGTAAAGTCCTCTGAGTGCTAGTCAGTGCTAGTCAGGAGGTGGGTGGAGAAGGTAAGGGGGATACTTAAAAGCCAACACTGTTGCCCAGCAGCAATACTATCCGTGGGGATAGAATAGACCAGGGACACCCCTCCTTATGCTTCTGTGGGCTGGAGCCCCAGATCCAGCTGACATCAGGAAATTCTAGCTCAGCTCATGTGGATGCTTTCAAACTGGGGCAACAGGTGGAGATGGGAGGAGCCAGAGAAAAGCCAGATAAAGAGCAAGGCCCACCAGAGTTGGAATGGTATGTGTGGATCTCAGAGAAGAGCTGAGGCAAGGAGACTAACATCTGATGACCCTCGATCCACCTGTCTGCTTAGAACATCATGGTTCATTTCTCCCAGGATAACCCATACCTGGATTTAGCTGATGAATGAAGGGAAAACTTTAAGCACAAATATAATTATAGCTAATACAGAGCTTATGGGAAAACATTTACATTTTTCTCCAGTAGGAATGCTTCACTTTCCCAAATAGATGCTACCAGCAGTTGGGAATCCTAATAACCAACTGAACTGCCCCAGATCCATTACTATAGACCCCACAAGGTGAGGAGCCTGCAAGGAAGGTGTAACAGGACATTTCCTGGTCCCACAGAGGCCTCAATGGAGGTGGGAGACAACCACACTGAGGGGTCTGAGTCTGTCCGCTGTTGCCCCAAGAGGGTCACAGGGAAGCAGCCATCAGGATGTCACAGGTGCAATCCTGTGAAACACTCCCTTATTGCACTTAGAAATCAGTAAGGCAAAACAAACTGACGACAACGTAAGGGTAAATGATCCCACCCTACTTCCAGCTCCCCCAACACAGATTTGGTCTCTTCATGAGCCACCGCACCCAGACTAGCATGGGCTTGGATCACAACACACTTGGCTAACATGCTTCACGAGGCTTGGGAAATGTCAGGTGACACCACAGCTATCTCAGACTCTCCCGCTGGGAAGGCAGACTTGGTGTCCGCCAAGTTGTCTACAACCATGGAGCGCTCGGCAGCTTCTACCTCCCCTGGAGTCTGGACTTTTTCACCGGCCTCCTTTGGTAGAGTTCTATACTATGATCACTACTTGCTTTTTGCTTTTGATTGTCCAGGACAGAACTCAGCATGGGGGCGGGATGAGCTGAGTTCCTGATTCCCAAATTCCTTTCCAGCAACTGGAGACAAGAGGGAACATGTTCTGCTGGGGAAAAGCTTTTTGCATGCTCGTTTTGTGCAGCATGAAAAGATCAGGACCCTTGTGTCCTGACCAGCCTCAGAGACAGAGGACAGGAATCTAAGAAAGCACAGAGAAAAGAGGATTATTGCTGAGTGGCAGCACCAGCCCAAAAGGGAAGAGGAGCATGGACATACAGAGCTCCTGGGGGGGGGGAAGGGGGGGATTGGGGGACAGACTAATTAGTACATATGGGACTGACTCAATTCTAAGGGGACACTGGACAGGTCCCTCCAGGTGGAGAACTGACCTGGGCATACTGTGGGCTCTGCAAGGTTCAGACAGGGTGGGCAACAGGAGGGCCAAGAAGCCACAGGTGTCTCTAAGACTAGTGACCAGAGATGCGATCCTGGGGCAGGAGTTATCTGTATTTGTTACATTTTTAAAACAGAGACTGGCTGGGCCCTGGGTACTTCCTTGGTGCCTACAGCACATTAACAATGGGCTACCGAGAGCAGAGATCAGACTTATGAAGCCACACTGCTGTTCTGTGGAACTGGAGGAAAAAACTGTATTTCTAACTCATCTCTCCCCAGGTGAGCACTCAAAATTGCAAAGATCTGCCCAGGAAGCAAAAATACCTCAGTGTATCCCAAGGTTGAAAACAAACGAACTTAAATCATTTAAATCACCACATCACAAAAGGCAGCTATTTTGAAAGACTAAAAATGTCACTTGGAAATAAAGGGCGGGGGGGGGTGGTGGAACACACAGAAATGGGTTGAGAACAAAATGGTTGGAGAGGGAGGAGCTGTGAATACAGCAACCTACACGCCACATATCTCAGAGGAGCAGGCTCCCGCACATACGCGCTTCGTAATACCAGACGGTCTATTTGTTCACAATATTAAAGGGCATCTAGAAGTAGCTACAGTAAGGGATCGAAAGTTGCCTGAAGAATGGGCACAGAAAGGCTGCGTCCGAAGATGGCCTGTCACTTGGGAGGGTGGAGCTGCTGGGCCTTCCTGTTGACCACTGTCTTGCAAAACTAGAAGAGAAATACAATTATTAAGGAAGCAACAGAGGAAAATAGAAACACACTGTAAATCACTGATGGCGGAATTTCAAAAGGAGCCAAGATGCCAGTAGGGGGTGGGGGGAGGAAATGATGGTCCAAGCAGCCGACACTGCAACAGTCCATTCAGTCCTACTGTTTCATCTGCCAGAAGTTCTCACGCACAACGGGGCAGGGAGAGCGAGCAGAGCTTTGCATTACTGCTGGTGAGACCCCAGGCCTCCTCAGCTCCTTAGTGTTAGAGGACAACCACAGTTTACTTGATAAAATAATTTCCTCTCAGAGCCCAATGGGAAGCAGGGCCACGTTTTTAATTCCATGACCAAGCCCACTGATAGCTGCTGGAGTATCAGCAGGTCCGGAGGTATGCAGGGTCCTGGGAGCTCAGAGAAGGATGGGGCTTGGGAAAGAGCAGCACCGTGAAACAGGAACACCTCATCCTGCTCCTATGACCCGGGCAGAAATACTCTCCAAGCATCTGAAAGAGGCTGCCTCTGATGAGGACAGCTACTTAGTATAGGATCAGAGGCTTTAAAGAGGAAGGAAATGAAGCACCAGATAAATGATGAACCCGAGGAAAAGCTGTCTGGCCAGCATTTTCCAAGGGCAGGGCAGGGAATGATAGCAGTGGGGAGCCAGGAACTAGCTTTGGCACAGGGGTACCAGGGGCACCCCTGAATGCCAGCTTCAACTTGAAATGGCTCTAGTTACGAGAGGAGGAGGATTTAGTTGCAGATAAGCTTCAGTTCTGTGTCTACCGCCCCAACCCAGCCCCACTTTTCACTACTGGGTGGGTCCATGTGTCTGTCTGGGCGGTTCATTATAAGATCACATGTCCCTGAATTGGTCTAATAGTCACAACATCTGTCAATGGAAGCCTGAGAACTGTTTAGCATGGCAGTCATCAGGATTACTGGAGGACAGGACGAGCAATGAAGCAAGTTTCCTGACTCCACAGTGAGCTGCTGAAGCCCCAAGGACCCAAACTGATTTTCACGTCGATGAGATGCAAAGGGAGAGATTCAGTACATACAGTGCAGAAGAGGGAGGGGTGCCTTTAGTCATCCGCGGTCATTCCTTTCACTGGGTCCTTTTGTCTCATCTGGAACAGAAAAAAACAGGAAAAACTGAAGGCTCTTGCTGCTGATGGAACTCCCAACACAAATACATTCCGCCTTCTCTTCAGTCCTGCCAATGAAGAGGGTGGAGCATTTTCTGTGCACAA